CCCCCCGACACCCCCCCGGGGCACCCTGGCCCCCGCGCCCAGGGAAGGGCCCAGCAGCAGTCCCTGCTCCCAGCCCTGCGTGCGGGTGAGGGGCAGAGGCCGAGGCCAGGGCCTGCGGGAGCGCCGCATCCGAGCTCGCTCCAAGTGGTTTGCACTGGGGGATACGTCCCCGAAGCCCCTGGAAGGGGCAGGGGCGCTTCCAGCGCCTGGGGCCAGGCAGGGCACTGAGGAGGAGGAGGGGGCCGGGGGCAGAGCTGGGCTCGAGCCCCTGGAGCCAGACTGACACCTCCCAGCGGAGCCCCCGGCCCGACTCCGGCTCCCTCGCGCCGCGCTGCACAGCGAGCGGCCGGGCGGGCGGTTGCACCTGCACGTCTCCGACTGCTCTGTACAAAGGTTGCTGAGATTCATTCGCCCCGTTTTCGAGAGGGGGGAAACCGAGGCACAGAGGTGACATGTCTTGCCCGAGGTCCCAAGGGAGCTGGTGAGAGATGGAGGAAGAGAGCCCTGCAGTCCTGGCGCCTCCTTTCCTTCCTGTAAAGACTTTTCGTACTTGGATTGCGTTGTAAAGTTCCCGCTCCAGCATCTGACCTTTTCCACTACTCTAGAAATGCTGGACCCCACCCCACCCCACCCCCCAAACCCCTCCTCTGGGGAGCACTTCCCTTTGAACCCCTCCTTCTCTAGGCAGTTCGCAGGTGGCAATGCAAGTGGGGGGCCCAGCTGGTGCAGGCTTTTCCCTTGGCTCCAAGACCCTCCCTAACGCTGCTCCCTGCTGCGTGGGGCCGGCGGCCTCATCACTCAGGCCGTGGAAGCGTCCTCCAGGTCCGAGTTCTCCGCCAGGTGCAGCTTTTGTCTGGGTTGTGCGTTAAGGAACAAGCCAAGAACTGATCTGCAGTCCCGGGGCTGCTACATCTGCCAGAGACTGTGCCCCAGGCCATCCCCGGGGCAGCCTCCAGCACGTGGAGCAGCAGAGGCTCTACTGACCTTCACCAAAGGCTTGGGAGGGCGCATGCCAGCGATGCACAGGGCAGAGGGAAGACCCGCATCTTACCACCTCTGCTGTGGGGGGGTGTCGCAGCAGAGAGGGGAGGACGGTCGCAAAGCTGGTTCCCTCTTCCCTTCCCTGCCTGTGGAGCAGCCAGCTCTGCAGATACAAGCTGCCCCCAGCGGGATCCTTCAGCCCACCTGGTCCAGCAGCAGGATACATGGAGTTGCTGAGCTCTTCCAGCTGGAAAAAGGGGAAACAGAATCACCCTCATCCTGATGCAAGCAGCAAAGATCAAGGGGACAGGGCTTAGCCTGGCTCCAAACAGCAGTACGAAGCACTGCGAGTATTATCAGCACCAAGGCTCCGTGGTGCTAGACGCAGCACAGAGACTGGCCCTGTCCCAGGCGCCAGGCAGGGGGTTCAGGGCTGCGTTCAAGGCCCAGCCCGTGAGGCACTCACATTGGTCAGCAGCTGGTCGAGGTTCCTGTCAGCCACCGTCTTCTTCTGGTCCTCGGACAGCTCCTCCACGCAGACGTCCAGGCTGAAGTGCAGGCGCGCCAGCTTCTCCTGCATCTCCCGCACGTGCTCCAGCTGCTCAAAGGAGCACTCCTTCCCTGTGCCCGGGGAAGCAGCCCCATGATGCTCAGCCCCAATAGCCCCCCCTGCACCAGAGACCGGCTCCCTGCTCCCCCGGGGCCAGGCATCTCCCCACAGCCAGCAGGAGACTCCTAGACCAGCCATGGTGCCAGTCCTGGCCTTTTGGGTGCTGCAAGCAAGACCCATCCCACAGGGCCGGGCATTGGTGCCATGCCCCCCCCCCCCCCGCCGTATGCCTCCTTACCGAATGCCTGCAGCTTCCCTGAGTGGAAGTCATTGAGCAGGTTCAGGAGGCCGCCCTCCATCTCGTACACGTCCGAGACATCCGTCAGAAAGGTGTGCTGCAGCGGGGGCCCCAGTGCCACCCCTGCGCCGCCCCCCGGCTGTGGGGCACGAGGCTTCTCCTTGTTTATCCTGCGCAATACACACACACAGCCTAGCGTAGCTTCTCCAGGCCCAGACCCAGCCCAAGCCTCCTAGCGGGGTCCTAGGAGCTCTCAGCTCTCCCCTCCAAGGAGCTCAGGCCAGTTTGCCAACACATCCCAACTTTCCAGCCACACTGGCCCACGCGGCTGAGCCTGGACATGGCTGTACATGCCAGGGCAATACACTGGCCTCACCTTGGTGGCCATATCTCCCACTCAGGGCCACTGCAACTACCACCTCCTTGCATGTAGAGCAAGTGGCTGCTGTAGCAGAAGCAGGCGCAGAACAGGCCCATGGGGCAACGGGCCCCAGGTTTGACTGCTGCAGGCACAGCACGTGCCCAGCCCAGGCTCACGGACTGGGAGCCAGCGGCACAGTCCCCAACACTGACCTCTTGAACTTGGCCCTCTGCTTCGGTGAGGGCAGGTGAGGCAGCCCCAAAGAGAAGGTGGCGCTTTTGCTGGTGGGGACAGGCAGCTTGCGCAAGCCGCCGGCAGGGGCAGGCTGAGCCAGGCAAGCCTTGGGGCTCCTCTTCTTCTTCTTGTCTTCCATCCTGAGAGCTCGACTGCCAGGCCGAGGCTGGGCTGAGGATCGGTGACACCTGGCAGCCGCGGGCCTCTGGGCACTGAGGCAGAGAAACACTGGTCATACAGGAAGCAGCCCCCTGGTCTTCAGCCCCTTCTCCAACGTGGAGCTGCTCCAGTATGGATGTGCTAGGCTGGGGGTTTCCACCTGTCAGAGCCTGCTTTCTGATCAGCCCCCCTGCCCCAAAGCTTCCTTTCCAGCCAAGCCATCAGGGTGGGGGCAGGCAGAAACCGAGACTCGTTTTTACCTTGGGGCCAGGGGCCACTAGAAGCTACGGTGCCAGCTCTGCGTCACGTGGTGAGAGGTGCAGTCTGGGCACTTTCCCTGCCCTGATCTCTGCAGGTGGGGACACGAGCCAGTTACTTGGGGTTTTCCTCCCTGACACCTTGTACAGCATGGTGAGCATTTGAGAAAAGAAAATCCCATTCCTGAAGGGCTGGATCCCGAGGCCTGAGCTGCACAGCATGGCTTCCCACGGCAGAGCTCCCATTCAGGAGCTGGCATCGCACTTTCCACCAGCTGGAGACTTGGCCCACAACGAAACCACAAAAAGACCAGGCTGCAAGGAGATGCTGCCGGCACAGGGAGGATGGGCACTGGGGGAGGAGACAGGCTCTTGGGTTTGCTCCTGCTTTGTTAATCCCCTGAAAGGGATTGTGCACCTGCAGGGCAGGATGTTGCTCATCTAGGACCCTTCGCAGAGCAGCCCCTTTCCTATCCCCACCAGCTGTCTCCAGTGGAGCGTGGGCATCCCTAGGGGCAAAGCAGGGGCAGGGCAAAAGTCATGCACATCCCCCCCAGCAGTCCTCAAGCCTGTGCTGGGGGTATCACACCCGGCAGGGAGATTAGCTCAGTCTCCGTGACCCATTTAGCATTCGATTCAGCCAGGGGCTAGTTAGTGCCAGCTGCGATGTGTTGGGTAAAGGCCCCCTGTGGACACCGCCAACATCAGCCTGCGTTTGGTGCCCAGGATGCCCATCACTGGCTGTGTGGCGCTCATGCACCCTCTAGGCCATCCAAAGCTGGCAACTTCAGGGCCGGGATCCTGGCTTTGCAGACTCCCATGGTACCCAGCCCTGCTTGCTAAGAGTTGGGTCAGGGTCTCCGGGTTTGCCCCCCATTTGGCTGCTCCCAGGACCACTGAGCAGGGTCCAGCAAGCCCAGCCCTGCAGGACCCGCATCCCGGGGGTCCCTTGAGCGGACCTCCTGCCACAGCCCTGGGGCAGCCGGGCTGCTCCGAGCCCGGCCACCGCCCAGGGAGACGGGGAGGGAAAGGGGCTCGGA